GAGGAAAAGAGGTTGCAGAAGGAAACAGAACATGAAAAATTAATAAAATACTTTGTAGTTTTGTCGTTTCACTTAACATCGTTTGGTTTTTCTCTGTTTATATTTGGGGTAATTTTTCTTATCCTCCTTTCCTTAGTGTTTCTCTTATCCTCCTTTCCTTAGTGTTTCATTCAACAAATTTATAATATATTTGTACTGTTCAAATATTTATGCTTTTTTTCTGCACATTTTTGAAAGACTAAATGAATGAACGAATTTATTGACAACCTCAGTGCGTTAGGATGCTCCTGAATAAACAAATTTTCGGTGAATCACGACTGTACAGTGCTCGACTTCTGTTCAATTCTTGTTCCCATTTTTACTCTTCATCACATCCAACACATTACAACCCGACTTACCCCACCCTAACCCCATTTTCCAAGCAAACAGCACCGCATTTGCCAGACTCTTCTTTTCGGTTGGCAATTATCGCTGACAAAAGCATAGTTTTTTTTTTAATTCTAGTTTTCAAAATGGATTACAAATTTGTTTTTTTTTTTCTTTTTACATCTGATTAAGTTATCACCAATTTTTCTTTGTCGTATTAAATGTTACCTCAATTATTTGTTTCTGGAATTTTCATTGGTTAGACAATCAAAATTACCGAAATTCGTTTTCAACTTCCTTTTTTTTTTTTTTTGTTCTTAACTTAATACATCAAAAAAACGGAACAAAAAAGGTGTAGTTTTAAACAACTTCGTACAAGAAAAAAATTGAGCTAGCAGTAAACAGTAACAAAAAAAAGTTTTCATGTCTTTAGATTGACAACAGCAAAAACAAAAATTTTTTGTTTCTACGAAGCGCATAGTGAATATTTGCATTTATTAGTACTCTCAAACATACTTTATAAATTACTTCCAAATGTTTGATGCAAAATTTTATTGCTAGAAATAGGTGAGGTGGTTGTCAGTATGGTGGAGAATCAACAGCAGAGGTATCATCTGTGATGTGTTTTTCTGAGCGGGTTATTTTTGGTTGATCTTGCTGATAGTCTAGAAAACACTACAGGAATTTTAAGTTTTCAGGGAAAAAGAAAAACGTTAGATTTTCTTCTGCGGGTGTTATTTTTGCTTAAGATCACATTGTTCTGACATTTATCAGGATAATACCTTTGTCGGACAATGGAGAAGAAAGCTTTTGTTACGCAGAGCGAAGAAAAAAACTCAAAATTTTTTATTATTGTTTGAATTCGATAAGCACCAAACTTCCTTCACGCTGTCAGAAAGGTTATCGTAACCGCTATCAGCTAAAATTCAATTATTTTTAGTGAAACTTTAGTAGCAGCTAAAAGCAACAGTACCGTATAGAACACAAATTTTTTTTTTTACTTCTAACTTTACTGGCTATTTTGCAGTTAATCAATGTAGGTTTCTGGCTCAAAAGTTTGCGCATAAAAAGCTATTTGTTCTTCACCACATAAGTATATCATTGATATTAATCACCTCATTGATCATCATCATCATCATCATCAACAACAGACATCAATCAGTATCAGTGTCCTCTGTTTATTAAACAGATAAATAGTGATTAAGAAAAATACTTGTTTTTACTGCTTC